GTTTTTAAAAATCAGCTGATGCTTGCAATGCACCCGACATACAAAACAATGTCCTGAGAAATTGTTTACATAAAGTAATATAGAACAAGTCATGTCTAATTGTTGGTTTTCTCCTAGGAACTGAAATAACAAGAGAGACGACAGTCCTTGCTGACAGACACCAACAATCGGAACCTTACTAATAATCCTTACAATTTCAGGTAGCTACACTTTTGGTTCAATTTATACTTCCTAGACCAAAAATTACTTTTCCATGAAAAAGATGGTAATAAAAGAACCATTTAACTTCATTTCTTTAAATCCCCTATTTAAAATGTTGGAATGTATTAAGTACATAAAATCTCCAAGACAGGCTGCTTTCTAAATCACCAAGTTAAGAAACATGATACAATTTCTTAGGGCAACGGGCAGAATGCTCATTAGTAATGAGTTAACACCGCAACCTTTCTCAAAGAGTCATCTTTAGACCAGAAACTGCAGAATCTACTGAAAAGGGGTTTGAAATGCAAATTCCCAGGCCCCAAAATAAGGCAAGCCAACTGACAACCCGGGTGTTGTGTTGGGGCACAGCGCTTGCGCCGGCTTTTCACGGCCCTGAGTGTGATCAAAACAACTAGCTTCTGAGTGTTCTGGTTCCAGTGCCCTGATAAGGCTGTTGTCTCATTCAAAATAAATCGAGGGAAGTGTAATCTGGCCTTGTAATTTGTAACAGACGATAGATAGGTAAGGCTTCCCATTAAATTATCTTCACTAAACCAGTATCAACACATATTGCCTGCCATACTGCAACACTTTTCTTGACCACACCCAAAGAAAACCCCAAAGTGCAGTCAGTTACAACTGAACTACGAAAGTTTTGTCACTTTGTCTTACCCTTTTAAGAATTTTTATTCTATAATTTGGTGGTGTGTGTGTGTATGTGTAATTGGAATTACTTTGAACCATCTTACTATTTTTCTATCTAGATAATTCTCAGATGTCTGTGCAAATTCACTATGAATTGCAAAAGGCAACAACCATAATTAAACATGACAAATATTTTTGCAACGTAGCTGGAGCACGAATACACACACCTGCACAAAATAAAGGACGCAAAGGCCTTAAACCCACAGACGATGAACTTGACAACAGGCAGAGACACACTGCTGGGTGCCATGCTCACTACACACAGACACAAGCACAAACACGCACGACTGTACCTTCTTTATTCACCGTGTCAACTACAGTGTTGACAAGGTGGATTACAGTCACTATGGAAGCTTGTAAAAAGGTACAAAAGGAGTAAATTAGGTAAATCTTCCAGGAGTTAGAAAACAGCTTATTAAACTAAACAGGAGTTCTTAAAACACAGTTTCCACTTTTCGATTTGAAAACATGACAGGACTGCTTTAGCTCACTACATAAGAAGATCATGCATGCTTCCTGCACTCTGACTTCGACCTCTCAGAGGCTTTTGCTAACCCAGGGTGATATGCTGTTATTAATCACAGGAATAAAGTAATCATACTTCATTGAAATTCAAAATCCTCACCCCCCTCACCCTCCAGCAACCAGTTTTTTTCAGATTTAAGGTTCTGGATCGGGTCATGGCAAAACCAGGGCTTTTCTATTTCACGGGCGACAGTCTGTGTGTTCCAAAGGCAAGATTCTTGGAAAACCACTTTCAGAGCTCATTTTCATACGTTAGCATATCATCTCCAGGGAAAATAAAAATTCAAAGCTATGTAAGGATAAATATGCAATATAAATGCAAAATTGGTTTCACCCCTGATTCTACTTGCCTCATGCCAAAGTTCTTGCCTCATGCCAAAGTTCTTGCTTTTTTGCTGATGACTTGCCAGCTGGTGAACAAGAGGCACGACCCATGGCTGGCTTGTGTGAGGGCATCAAGGCAATCGTGTTGCCATGTGGTGGGCAAGGGAATGGTCCCCAAGGGTTCATGTCCTAATCCTCTGGGAATGTTCCCTTATATGACAAAAAGGAGCTTGCTGATGAAAGGTTAAGGATCTTGATGTGGTGGGGTGAGAAACAGAGCACGGTGGGGAGTGGTGTATCCTAAAATTTCTAGGTGGGCCCTATCTAATTATGAGACTTTGAAACAGTGGTTCTCAACCTTCCTAATGCTACGACCTTTAATACAGTTCCTCATGCTGTGGTGTCCCACCCCCCAACCATCAAATTGTTTCTGCTGCTACTTCATAACTGTCATTTTGTTACTGTTATGAATCGGGCGACCCCTGTGAAAGGGTAGTTCTACCCCCAAAGGGGTCGCGACCCACGGTTGAGAACCACTGCTTGAAAAGGAGAACTGGTCAGAGGGAGAGGAAGTATGGAAGAGGGTTAGAGAGGAATCGCTGTCTTCTTTGAAAGATGGGTGGGAAGGGCCACCAGCCCAGGCATGTGGGGAGACGCCATGAGTGAGAAAGGGAGGTAACAAAAGAAACTCTGCCCTGCTGGTACTTTCTTCTGATCCCAGTCAGCCCATTGTGGATTGCTAACCTACGGAGGGGGCAGGTAACACACACTTGTGATTGTGAGACCCACGTCTGGAGCCACCGACAGGACAGAGGAAGAGCTTGGGTTTCTGAGGATGTACACCTTCACATGAGCAGACAGCCTCATCTTGCTCGGCAGACCGACTGCTGGTGGTTCTGCTGCTGGGCTCGAGGCCAGCAGGTCAATGAGTAGCTCACTACTCCACCAAGGGTCTTCACTGTAGTGACAGTGATTGCAATCATGAAAATGACTACAATAGAAACCATCCCTAGTTCTATCTTCCCTGCCCCACACACGCTATGTTCTGGAAATGACGTCTCAGAGTGTGGCTGCATGTGGTAAAAGTGTTTGGGGGTGTTGAGAATGAGGTTTCAGTGAACCCTACTAAACAACAAAGTCAACACTGACAACATTCCGGAATACATTCATGGAGAGCATTAGAGGCCATGCTTTCAGTTACTACATAAACTGGTAAATACTGATCTCCGTTTGTCTTCTAAGCAAAACTATGTTCCTCCACTGCATCAGTAAACAAACAACACGGGTAACTTGATGCACACGGGACGTGCTATACTGAGTTCCGAAAAGGGCTTTGCTATATAACCATGGGTTAGAAACAATCCAATAATCACACGCGGATTATTTCCTTCCACTAATTAACAACAGTTACGATCTTTAAACACATTACATTTTTGTGTGAAAAAGAAGTGTATCGTAAGTTCACCTAATAATTCTGAAATTCAAGTTTTCATTCTACTGCCCTGAGATCATCTTTAAACCAAAAGCCCTTTCCTAAATTCGTCTCAAATAATCATAGTTTCGCTAACTAGCACAGGTCCCGCCTTAAGCATTATGCTCTGGTAAGAGCTATGCACACGGGATCAATGGGGAAAGGGATGAGGCTGTCTCCTCTCAAAGATGTACCACCTCAGCAACCCGAAGGGGCAGCTCTATGCTGTCCAACTGACCGTCCGGCAATGCGTTTTTGTTCGTTTACTTATTTATTTATAATCACAGCATCAAACTGACACAGTGACTCAGAGGGTTAGTTAGCTAGGAAGCCAAGTGGGCAGTGAGATGATGTCAGGGGAGGAACAACTCAGACGAGTGAGAAAGGATGTGATCAACTTGCAGGAGGTCAGCAACAGCAAGGAATTGTGCAGTAGAAACCACTGAGTTGCCGTCTGTTTTATGGAGTGTATTTTCAATTACCAAGAAAATAAATGAAATTTAAAATAGCGCTTTATCGTGCTATGGAATATTGACCAGTTTTCTCTAGTAGTGTGTGCTGATAAGACAAAGCTGAGCACCAATGCATTCTACCCTAGGGAAAACAGATAAACAGAATGTTTAACTGAGGCACCAAAGATCCCACGTTCAAACTTTCTTGATTAGAAACATAGTCACTTACTAGCGATCTCTTAAACTGTGCTCAGTCAGTATGCTCTGATCCAAATGGGAGCTGAGGCCGCAGGGGGTGGAGGGAGGAGACAAATAAGACCTTGTAATAATACCAAAGGTGCTACTTTAGGGGAGCAATGTAGACTATGATCCCTCCTCTCGGGGTCATGTGTATGTGAGTGTAGCAGGGGCTCATCAAGGTTTTAGGACTTAAATCCCTGCGCCCCCACCCCCGCCCGAACTATCATTTTCACTTTGGGGGGGCGCAACATCAAAACAAAACTAAATCAGATAGAAATCACCTTTCATTTAAATATATTTTTTTCCTGATCACTGACAAATTGCTGTAGTTCAAGGATCGATTCATTAGGAACAGTTCAAATATGCTCCCAGGAGGATCTATTCATTAGTAACAGTTTAAATATAGTCCCCAAAAAAAGTTCATGCAAGAATGTATGTACAAGGTATTGTTCAAAGGTGGCCCAAGTGATAAAGAGCAAAATTTCCCAAAGCTTAATAGAGCACCTGAAACACCTCAGTCATTACATAACATAATGAGGGCAATGTTCTCAACAGCAAGCAATCAAAGCCTTCAGTAATTTTCCTAGCTTACCGTTATCATCACACGACTCAGACTGGAAGGAGCTCAGGGACTGCACTTCAGACAGGCTTTCCCGGGCACTGTATGGAAGAGAAGGCTTCTCCTCCAGAGGTTTCTTGGTGAGACAAGGATCTAGGTCCACGACTTTAGCTACAAGGGAGAGATGACGAGCAGTGAGCTCCTCTGGATTGTTTACCACTGTACCCTGACACCGAGCAAGTCGTAAGAAATGACTGTCTAAAATACATATACTAAATCAACGACTAAAGGAAAAGAGAAAAAAACATATTTGAAGCAAACAGCTTCCCCCAGGACACCCTGAAAATATTCTGGGAAGATTCACAAATGATAAATGATGCTCATGGACATCTCTGGCACTAACGAGGGACCTTGGTTGCACAGTCAAGTACACGGTGGGGTGCTAACCCACAAAGTCAATGCTTCAAACCCACCTGCCATTCCACAGGAGAAAGATAGGCTGCTTGCTCCCATGAAGATTTACAGCCTCTGAACCCCATGGGGTAAAAGCTATGCTATCCTATAAGGTCACTATATGTTGGAACTGACCTGATGGTAATCGGTTTGGGTTTTTAAAGACATTATACGATATCTTGGTATTAAAACTTTTGTTTTAGAAATAGGTACAAAGCTTCTTTTAAGCAATAAATGTACCGTAGGCCACAATATAAAGTATGCACAACACCAAAAGTATGAATGATGTGCCTTTTCCTGGCCATGTCAAAAAACAAAATCTTGGTATGCATATACCCCCAAAAGTTTTTAATAATTGCCACCAGAAGCCCACATACCTATAGCCTCAGAGCCAATCATCAATTACAAAAATGAAATAAGCATTGTATGATATTACTTGGAACACTAAATTAGATTCTTTAATTAAATGAATATGATTAACTTGATTGCTTATTCCAGGGCCTGAGGCACTTGCAAAAAGTTCTTCAAATCTACCAAAGGTTTTCAGATTTTAAGAAGGGGCGCTTCAAAAAATGTCTAGAAAATGGAATGAAATGAGGATGGGATTTTCCCCATGACCCTCTGGAAGCCCATTTCTAACAAGCAGAGCCAGCTGCCCTGAAGGAAGGAGAGTCTGGCGCAGTGGCCCTGTGTGCCAGAGCCAAACTGTGCTCCATGGTGCTTCCAATGGATGAGGTTTTAGGAGTAGATAGGCAGGCCTTTCTTCTGAGGCACCTCGTGACATGTTAACAGTTCTTACCACCCAGGGACGCTGCTCTCTCACAAAGACTCAGCATTTCTAATGAACCAACCCAGCCCCTAGAGCAGTCGAGACCTCCCTGTGCCTCTCAGCGGCCTCTTGGTTAGATGAGGACGTCGTGCTTACTGTCATAATCAAAGTCCCAGCTTGGCTTCTGGATGGAGTCACTGTCAGAAGGGGAGTTTGAAGGCGGTGGGGGAGGCAAGTTGGGCGCGACGCTGCAGACAGCCACAGCTTTTCGGTGTCCGTGCACGGACTCAGGGTTGAAAGTGCTGAACTCGGGATGCTCGGGGATGGCCGAGCCTTCAAAGGAATTCCGGTCAAGATTGTTTCTAGAGTCACTTGGAATGCTTGGAGTGTAGGAAATGGGGCGGACAGGCACCTGGGGTGGTATGTCTGAGTAAATGTTCTTATTTAGCTTTGAATCAAAATATGGCCTTTGCAAGAAAGCTGTGGTGGGTCCCAAGTGTTTGTCTTCCGGTTCAGGCTGGCGCTTCCTCTTGCGGCTGATCATTTTGCGGCAGATCACAAACACCAGCACCAGTAAGGCTATTCCCGTGATGAACACGACGACGCCGATGCCTTCAGCCAGGCCGATGTTCCAGGGCGTGGACACGTACTGGTTGGGCGCGGCGTCCTCGCAGTGCTTCCCGCGGAACTCCTGGCTGCAGTTGCAGTGGTAGGAGCCGTGGGTGTTCTCACACAGGGCCCCGTTGTGGCAGGGGCTGCCGGCACACTCGTCCACGTCGCTCTGACACCTGCCGGGAGCAGAGCCAAGCATGAGGACAGGGGCAGTGACCCCAACCGAAAGCGGTATAATCCCTCCCACTATCAACAACTGCCGACAATACAAAAACCTTTTGTGGGTTACTTAATCACCCACTTAATCGCTTACTGAATGTATACCTGGGAGAACAGCCCTAGATCATGCCGATATTTAACACCATTTTTCTAGGATTAAAGAGACAACTAAGGCACACTGGTGGGCTAGAAATAACTTTCTCTAGATTGGATAACCAACTTGCCATTTGGAAATATGGGCATGCATACTGATAAAGAGGCATGCTGGAAACTGTTCTACGACATTTTTTTAAATAAGCTAAAGTCTGGGAAATTTTAATCAAAACTTATGTGAAAGGAGAAAACACTCAGCCTTGTACATCTTAAATTAGGCTTCCCTGATTGTAAGCTTTCTACAGCTCTCCATCATGGCAGGTAAGTCACACGCAGGTCCCACCTATTTTTCTGAAAGAGACCTATTTGACACCTGTGTAGACCCACCTGCCACTTTTCAAACTCTTCCTCCTTCTATGAAATTTGTCTATTTACTCGTCCCCATACTCACCTAGCATAAAATTCCAGTTATTAGAAACACTTCTGTCAAGTGCTATTACAGAGCACGAAGTAGCTTGCATTAGGGAAGGTATTTAGTAACTAGAATTTATGAACCAAGACAATGTGACGGAGAACGAAAGTCAAGATTACATGGCACTACTATACCAAAGCCATATGCGCATACCCAGCAGCAGGTCATACAAAAATA